GGAGCTGGGCTGGCACCGTATCCCGCTTGCAGCGTTGCCAGACCACGGCCGTACGGCCCTGGCTGTTTTTCTTTGGAGTCTCAGCACCTCTTTGGGGGTCTCAGCGCCTCTTTGGGGGTCTCAGCTCTTCTTTGGGGGTCTCAGCTCCCGTCTCCACCTTGTGCAGCCATTCCCATTCCCATTCCCATTCCCACCCCGGTGCCCTCCAGCCCATCTCTGCTGGCACAGAGCGGAGCTGGCAGAGCTGAAGGCAGGGTGCCTGGGGTTCCCTGCCCCTTCCTATCACAGCCTTGCTGTGGGGGTGCTTTGCTCCCTCCAGACTATCCCTGGCACCGGTAGCTTCAGATACCAGCTCCGAGTCAGGGAGACCGTCCTTGAGAGAGTGCCCGGCCCCAAAAGGCCTCCGGCTCCTTCTCCAGGAGGATCCCACTGCCACGTGCAGGCGAGGCACGTGTGTCAGATCAATGCCGCCGAGCCTGGAGGGGACGGGGCGATCCCGGGCGCGTTGCAAGGAATGCATGAGGGACAGGACGCCAGCACCGACCGGGCATGTTGCTACCGGCACCGGCTGCAGCTGCGGCGGCTTCCTTGGCCCACCAAGATCTGCAGGATCAGGCCTCTCTCCCTCCTGGCTTCCCCCCCTTTCCCAGTCCCTTTCGCAGCAGGTTTCGCCGTGTGTTGACAGAGCCGGGGCGAGGCCATCCGGGCGAGGAGGACGTGGTAGCAAAGGTCGGAGGGAGAGGGAGGAGAAGCAGAGGCTGCTGCTCTTTGCACGCCGCCGCGCTCCCCGGTGTCGGCCCTTGGCACAAGGCTCCTCCGCAGTCAGGCAGCACTCCTGCCCCGGCTGGGCAGTGGCCACGGCGTCCTGCCCGGATTATCCTTTGGGTGGTTGCAGCCAGCGTTGCTGAGCATCTCCTGCCCCTCAGAAGAGGGACGCACGTCTCTGTCAGCACGGGACAGTCTTGGGGATCTTTGGATCCTCCTGGGCGATGGGCCACGTATGGGGAGGAGGAGCAGGGACAGGCTGTCTGCCGGCACCTGGGAATGTCCTTAGAGCCCCGGGAAGTGGCTTCCATGCCACGAGCAGACCCACGAGGCTGAAGCTCAGTTGTGCCTGAGCCCTGGACTGGCAGCACAGGGGGGACTGTCCCCCTTTACCCATGGGGGCTTGCAGAGCTGCCGGTGCTGTGCTGGGGGGTCCCGGGTGCAGCTCCATCCATGCAGGGAAGAGCTGGACGCGCTGTCCCCGAGGGCTGGGCCTGGCGTCACTCTTGGCTGCGTTTGCCCGCCGTCGGCCGTGGCCCTTGCTGGGGCTCGTGATGGGCTGCCCGGAGAGGAAAGGGCAGCGTTCAGCGCAGCACGTGGCTGCCCGCTTTGTGCATCCTCAGCCTTTTAATTATGTCCCTTTTCCACTTGCGCTGTGAAAAGAGCTGGGCAGCGTCTGCCTGCAGCCGCCGGCACCTTCTGGGTGAGCGCGTGGGCAGTGGGGTCGATCCTGCCCGCGCTGGAGGCAGGGTGCTGGGTTATATGTGGCAGGGGCTGCAGGGCACTGCTTATATTCACTGTTACGGGCAAGTAGGAGCTGCAGGGGAAGAAATCCTCCCTAAGCCCGGAGCTGCCCGTCCGGGGATGCAGAGGTGCCCTTTGCAAGGTCAAACTGTCCCTCGGGGTGCACGTTCAAATGCCTGGGGTCCGGAGGGACCCTCGCTCTCTGCTCCGGGTTACGCTGCTCCATCTGCAGCCCAACCTCTGTCCTGCTGCAGCAAACCCTGGGCGCAGCCCATGGGGGGCTGGCGGGGCAGGGGAAGGAGGGTTTGACACGTCGGCTCCCAGGTGGCACGAGGACGGCCCTACCCGCTGGGTAAATGCTGGGAGCTCTTCACCTTTTGGGGTAAAACACCTGGAGATGGGAGGAATGGAGCTCCCTGCGGTGTTGGGCACCGGGGCTGATAGACAGGCAGCTGGGAATTAGCCCCTGGTGGCACGGGGCTCCCTGGCACCCACTGCCCCGGCAGCACGCCGCACCCCGTGTGGTGCGGGCCGGCGGCCGTTCATGCCACCGCCCGTGCTGGTGCCTGGCAGCAGAGCATTTCTGCCCCTGCCTTCATGTGCCCCCATGCCAGCAGCTGGAGCTACTGGTTAGACTGGTCCCAGACCACATTCTCCCCCACCGCTGCCAGCTCTTTGCAGGCT